GAGAAAAGTGGTTGTAACTGGGATACTTGGAGAATGCAAAGACAACTCAATAGGGCTGGGGTTGTGGCTCAGTGGTAGAGTGCTTGCCTACCATGTGTGAGAGGCACTGGTTTTAATCCTTGGCACATATAAAAATAAAATTAAGCTATTTTTTTTCCCCCCCATATATATATATATATATATATATATATATATATATATATACATATTTGTAAAAAGACAACTCAATAAAAATCTGGGAAGAAGAGTAGGCCAGAGAAGGAGGAAATCTGGGTTTCAGGCTGGGTGAGCTGGGATACTCCCTTCTTTCTGGGCTCACACCTCCTCCTTGGTAGAATGATTTGGACCTCGTGGTTGTCAAGATCTCTTCCAGTTCTAAAATGAAGGTAGGATTCTTTTATTATCTCAGGTTTCAAAAGGGGAAGCCCAGATGTAAATCCAGGGGCTTGAATGCTGGCTTCCTACTTCCCACTGTGGTTAACTTCCTGGCCTTAGGTTTTTTGTTTTTTTGTTTTTTGTTTTTTTTTTGCTTAATGTTGCATGAGTGGAACAAATTAAGATTCCTGGGCTTCAAGCCAACACTAGTCCTCCACGCCCTCCTGTGCACCAGGATGGCCCCTGTTCCGTGGGGATACGAACCCCAGATGACTTGGTTGGGTAGGGATTATGCCCCCTCTGCCTCAGAGGTAAAAGGAGAAGGGAAATGAGCTAATTATCATGAAAATGCTTGGCACTTTTAGAGAAAGGGGCCATGAAACCCAATCCTGCAAGAATGATGGCGGTCATTCAGTAGCCCGAATACCAGAGGCGGGGGAAGCGGGGGAGCTGCCTTCACCACAGCTAGGGACCAAGGCCACAGGCCGGGACTTCCCATTCATTGTCTCCATCCAGTCCTAGGTTGACGTCTATCCCTTTGCCTTCATCTTTTATAGCACAAGGGTCTTGTCTTTGCAAGCTGACCCCATCCCTCTCCTGGACAGGGACTCTGCATAGCGGGGTGACAGGCCCACCGGTCCACACCCCTCCTTGCTGAGCAGACGGTGTGGAGCAGAGGGAGAGGACAGGCTTTGGGGTGGGGCTGACCTCGGTCTCCATCCGCCCCATAGAGAGTCAGTTTCTATATATAAAATGATCGTCCCCTTTTAAGTTAGGGTCTCAGACTGTGTCCTGCTGGAAGTTGAGGATTAGGATTAGACAGGATTAGGACAAAAGGTCCACTAGGGAGCAACACCCATGAAAAGAAAAGGGAAGAGGCAGGATTGGGCAGGGGGGACAAGGCAGAACTAACAAGGTCACAAAGCCCCTGCCCCATGCAGACTGCTCATTTGAGAATCCCTGGGGTGGAAATGATGGCGCTTTCCTTAGTCATTGACAAAGGGTCACCCATTCTTCAAAGGGCATGATCTCACTTTAAGAGCTGAGGGGCAGCCAGAAGGAACTAGCAATTGGAGACTGTCATCTAGCCATTTTCCTTGCAGCTGGACAGCAAGTCCCCTTATAAAGACCCCTCTGTGTCTGCCACTGGGAAGCAAGATAGAGCTAAGCACCCAGCCCAGATTCATTCTCTTCTTTTGCTTTGGGCCTAGGTCAATCTGGGCTGGAATTCCAGCTTTGTGACTTGGCTTGTGACTCAGGACAAATGCCATCAGGGAAGTTAGCTTTCTCCAGTTTCACTTGATCACTCAACCTGCCGGTGAGTCTGTGATGGGGGGAGTATGTGTTCCTCCGTTCCTACCTCCGTTTTCTCACACATGACAGGGGGAAGTGACAGGCACCTCACAGGGTACCGGGTACCGGGGACACACACACAGGGCCTGACACTCTAGTGTTCAAGTCCTTTTATCAAGACTTGATAAATCAGATTTAACAAATGTTTGACTTTCTGCCTCATCTCAGTTTAGCTATCTTAAGTGACTTTATGGAGTTCTATAAAGGCATGAACTGTATGGAGGTAAGCAATGTTAGGGGCCCCTAAGAAACTAAGGACTCTCACTTTAGGAGACTTGGAAGAGAAATCTCCATCTAAGCAGACTTTGCTGCCTAGAGCCCATCTGTCTATTCCAGCCAGCTCTGCCTTCCTACCTTGGGAAAAGTTCACAGTATTATCCCTGCTCCAACTCACTTACACCCCAAGTCCAGATTGAGCTCTTTTGACATTCCAGGGAATATCAATTTTATTATTATTATTATTATTATTATTATCATTATTATTATCATCATCATCATCATCATCTTTTGGTACCAGGGACTGGATTGGCTGCAGGGGCACTAACCACTGAGAAACATCCCCTGAACTTTTTAATATTTTATTTAGAGACAGGGTCTCGCTAAGTTGCTTTAGAACCTTGCTAAATTGCTGAGGCTGGCTCTGAATTTGCAATCCTCCTGCCTCAGCCTCCCCAGCTGCCAGCATTCCAGGTATGTGCCACTACACCCAGCTGGGAATACCAATTTAAACCTGATTTCAGATTCCTGCTCAGGGGTAACCCAGTAGTCTGCAGGCCCTGGGAGGTCTCCACTGGACAGAGTTCAAAGAATCCACTCATTTCCTCCCCTCTAACTCACCCCATCAGATGCCTTGGGAGGAGAGAAAGACAAGCAGGTGTCCCATGACCCACCCAGATAAAAGGAAAGGCACTTATCACAGGAACCTAGAAACATCCAATTCTGGGCAATGGGCAAGTTGGGAAGGAGCTGGGCTCTGAGGGAAAGCAGAAAGGAACTGGGGATGGGCAGGGAGAAGATGAGTAAGAATCACACACACCTCCTTAACCAAGGCTTTCGGTTCCTAGTCAAAATATTTTAAGACCCAAAGGGGGCACAGGAAAGACCTTTGTAGGCAGATAGGACTGGAAGTTAATTTCCAGACTCCTCCTCCTCCCCTGACTCACCTCATTCATATCTACCTTCAGGGATGATGTCAGGATGAAACAAAGAGCCACATGCCCTTGACAGGTGACTTAACATTTGTAAAGCACCTTAATACCTATAAGCGCATCTCAACCAGAAAACTTTTTGGATAGGTTTTCTTCTTTTTTGGTGCGGGGATTGGGGGTGGAACAGGGATTGAACTCAGGAGCACTGGACCACTGAGCCACATCCCCAGCCCTATTTTGTATTTTATTTAGGGACAGGATCTCATTGAGTTACTTAGTGCCTAGCTTTTGCTAAGGCTGGCTTTGAATTCTCGATCTTCCTGTCTCAGCCTCCCGAGCCACTAGGATTACGTGTGCTATTGTGCCTGGCTGGATAGATGTTCTTATTCCCATTTTACAGATGAGTAAAAAAGGTTCACAGAGACTGGGACTTACTTTGGGTGACACAGCTGGAATTCAAGCCTAGGTATCCTGATGCCCACTGGAGTCTTGGGTTAGGTTAACAAAATCTTCAACTCTTACTTTAGTACAACCTGGAGGGGTTTTTTGTTGTTGTTGTTTTTTCTCCTCTGTATATGGGAAACTGTAGTCTAGAGAGTGTCACCAAAAAGACTAGATGGCAAGTTAATAGGGAGACCCCATGATCAAGAACTGACCAGAAAATCATCTAGAAGGCCAAATTGGGCCTTGGTAGCTATGCAAATTATCTTCAGTGATATCCTCCATCCAGGTGCTCTGTGCACAAAATCCCTCTCTACCTTTAGGCCTTTCCTGACCTTAGAAAAAGAGTGGGAGCAATTTGTCTACACAGAGAGGTGGAGGGAACACCATGCTCCTTACCTCTCTATGGTTAGGTGTAGTATCTTCATGAAAATGGCAAGGCCCAGCCTTTGGACTTGGGTCACAGCTGCATTTTTAGCTTCAGAAGGTGAGTGGTCAATAAAATGGTAAGGCCTCTGTGGTGCTCAGAGATGGCACCAGTGTCAGCCACCTACTCCTCGTTGGGCAAGGCTGGCTGCGCCTGGGTGTACAGAAATGACTCCTCCTGTGTGCTCTGTGGTGTCCAAGCCTGAGCTCCCTGCTCTGGGGCTAAGCACTCCACAGACGCCACAGTCAGGGAATCACGTCTCAGAGCACCATAAGCAGAGATTCATGCTGTGGAAAAGAGTAGGGGAAATCTCCATTGTTTTCTCACATAGCTACACAAACTGCTCTCCCTCACCTTTAGAACTTCACCCAGCACACCCTGGCTGGGGTCCCTGCTCCTTCACACTTGAGTTTTTGAGTTCCAGGGGGTCAAAATAGGGGGTGTGTGATCTGAGCCCAGGTCTCCAGGAGCATCCCCTACTCTCCCCTATGTCTCTGTCCCACATTCTACCCAGGTTCTACCTCAATCCCACTCCCCTCACCAGAGCCCTCAAACTCCTTGTGCTGATTGCCTTGGGTTCTCTGGACCCTCATTCAGGCTCCCTGTCCCAGGAAGGAGAAATCTATCGTGTGGTAAGGGTCTTCCATGTGCTGGCACTGAGAAGATAGTCTAAGCCCACCACCCCTTTCCAAAACATGGCTTATAGGGTATTTCTAACTTCTAATCCTTACTTCAAGTGGTCCCTCCCCGTTCCCCATGCCCATGTTTCTTAGGGACTCTATATACCTCACTCCTTCTGAGCCCCTTTCTTCCCCATCCTCCCACCCTTTCTTCTGAAGTGTAGCTGCAGCCATCTGCACCCTGAGAGAAGGAGAAAAGGGCCCAGGACCACAGCAAGAGGGTGCCCAGCTCATTTCCAGTCTGTCTAGTTTCTCTTTCCTCACATGTCCCTCCCACCCCCCCAACCCCCTACCTTGGCTCAGGGTGAGGAGAGCAGAGCAATGGGTGTATCGGTAATTTTTTCCTGGTGGGGGAAGAAGGTGGAGATTGAGGAAAGAAAAGACAAGCAAGGGTGATTGGCACTGGGCCCCGCCTTCTTTTGTCCTCTTCCCTGGTACTCACTCTGGCCCCTTCAGGGAAGTACACCTGTTTGAGACCAGCAGCCAGTGGGGACAGGCTCGGCTCTGCTCCTCGCGCTGCTGCTTCTGTGCTGGGGAGCTTTCTCCAGGGAAGCCTGAGGGACTCTTTCTGGAACCATGAAGGGGGCCCACTGGAGGAGTTTCCCCTGGGTGCTCCTGTGCTCCTTCCTCCTTGGGCCATCGGACACCAACACAAGTAAGTAATGCACCTGGGGAAGCATGGTGGGGGGCAGAGGAAGAGGACTTCAAGGTCCCATCAGGGAAGCCAGGACCTGTCAGAAAGAGAGAGAGAGAGGGAGGTGTGTGGATGGGCAGAGGTGGGACAAGATAGGGGAGAACACTAGAAAGACACAGAAAAGAGACAAGCAGAGAGAAGCAGAGATGTCTGGGGGTGGGCAGAGGGTGGTCTGATTTGGGGAGCTCACAGAGGGAGCTGGGCTTATTTTGCACAGAGAAATAGGCAGAGCAACAGCCAGGGGTAGAGAAAGTGTCAAGAAGAAACTATGATTAAAAATCAGGAAAGCTGGTGACAGAAATGGAAGAAAAGCCCATATAAAGATATCAATTCAGGGGACAAGACATGAGAAACATATGAATCAAGGGATGGTCGACTGGTTGACCTGACCTTGGATTTACAAGCCTCCTCTTGGGCTAATGCCCTGGCACTGGCCTTGGCCTCCTGTATATCCCTTTCCCCACCATGAACATAGCAGAGGGTGGGGTAGGCACAAGGCCTGTTGGGGATGTGCCTCTCTGGGTCCTCCAGTTTTCTTCCCGCCACTTTCCAAGCTGCCCCTCTAGCTCCAGGATGGGGTTTTGTTCTGTTTCTGGTCACCTGAGCCTTCTGGGAGGATCTAGGGTCCAGGAGAGTGTGAGGCGTCAGACCCCAGACCAAAGTCCTTTCCCACCTCACAGGCCTAGGGAAGAATCATACACTCTACAGATAGTAAGAGACACTGGGCTGGTAAAGTGGAATATTCTGCCTTCCTTGAAATTTTTAAGGGCTTGGCTAAGAGCAAATAAAACAAACCCCACCTCCACGAACCTCAACCTCCTCATATACAGTGAAGAAATGGAGGCCAGAAGAGCCAGCCATGGCCAGCCACTCAGGGGCTTCTCCTGAGGACGGAGAAGAAGGAGTTGCCATGGAAACTGACCCTCAGGGCCGTGTGTGTGTGTGTGTGTGTGTGTGTGTGTGGTGGCAGCTTGAATTCAGGAGCCCTGGGTCATGCCTTGGCTTTACTGCTAACTGTCCTGGTCCCTGTGACCAGTTCCTATCCTAGCTCCCAAGGCCTTGCTTCTCCTGTGTTAAAAGGAGCATGGTGAATGATATGACCTTGACCCCAAGGTTCTTAAGTTTGTTTGTTGGTTGTGCTAGGAATTGAACCCATGTTAAGCGCACACTCTGCCACTGAGCTACACCTCTAGCCTGGTTCTTAAATTTTGTCATTCTGTGATTTAAAGTCACTCTAAAAGTGTTAGGTACCAACTCTGCACTCAGCCTCGAAGTGCTAGGAGCCAGGAAGTGGGGTCTGCAGAGAAGATCCCTAGAAGCAAGAAGTGGGGGAGGAATGAGCCGGGAAAACAGAAAGGTAGGACCCAGAGAAGGAGTGAAGGATGATGAGGGTGGCAGCACATCCCCATAATGACCTGACAAGATGTGGCCATGCCCAGGAGCTCCGAGACCTGTGCACTGCTAAAGGGGACCACAGGGAGCAAGGCCACGAGAGTAGGTGGGAATGATGCTTGAGATGGCGCCTGAGCACCTTGGTGAGGGAAAGCAGCCTCTAGGACAGGCAGTGAGTCATACCGCTTGGGACAGCGTCTAGGAGCCAAGGGGCCTGTCAGTTCTGTTCCTTGGGGATCCCGGGGGGGGGGGGTCGGTCGAGTCCAGGCTCTGTTTTCACACTTGCTGGCAGAACCCTCTCAAGCCTGGGTCACCTCTGGGGCAGTTGTTAGAGCCTCCTCTGGGAGGCTCCTTGGGCCACAGGGAAACCCCGGGTTTCTGTGAAGGAAGTGCCATGCGAAGGGCTTCCTTCAGGGAAAGCCCTGGCTCTCCAGGGTGAAGGTTGGAAAACGGGGTGGACATGGGTGGGCTGGACAAGGAGCAAGCAGAAACACAGTGGCCCCTGGTGGCTGAAGCAGAATGACTTAGAGGAAGCCCAGCCGTTCTACTTCTTTGCCTCACAGTTAGGAAGCTGGTCTGGCATAAGCCTCCATCTCCAGGATTATCAGTGGCCCAGTCACTGAGGAGAGGCCACCACCCTGAATGGCCACTACCAGGTTAGGGAGCTGTAGCAGGTAGAGGGTGGGGAGGGGACCCGAAGCCACAGGGGACCCAGAGGGACAGGGTCCTGCAGGCCTTTTCTCAGAGAACCTCCTTGTCAGTCAGTCTGGGAGAGGCCTCCCAACCTGCCACCCAGGGCCCCAAAACCTGTACCTCTGTCCCCATCCTCGTAGGAAACCCTCTCTGTGTCAGGGACACCCAAAAGGAGAGCATTGCTGGACAAGAGGTCCTGTTAAGAAAATTATCCAAATTCAAGTCCATGGCTCAGTGGAGAGCAGGAACTGAAAATCAGAGACCAGCATCAATATTGCCACTTATTGCCACTTTACCAGGGAGACCAGGTAAAGTCCCTTTAGTTCTGAAGTCTCAGGGTCCCAATGGCAAAACAAACTGAATGGGAAGGAGCTGACACAGAGTTGTTATGGGGATAAACTGTTCCACATCTGGTATAAGGTAGAAAAGCCTTGCAAACTTCATGGAGAGGGGCCACTTCATTTCAGAACAGGGAGGCGTGGGGCAAGGAGGGACCAGGAATGGAGTGGGCACCTCTGTTGTCTCAGGGCAGGTTCATTTACCCAAGGAGCTTGCACCTCTCCAGAGCCACCCCTTCCTTCCTGTGGCTTGGTTTATTTGGAATGTGGCTTACTGTGAACTGACCCTGAATACCAACCGTAGCCATTGAGCAGAGGCACACTTGAGCTGACAGCTCTGTTTCCTGGCTCCCTGCCCAGCAATCGCCCATACACGGTGGTATCTGGGCTCAGCTTGGGGCAGAGATTGGCCTGTTACTGTTATTTGACATATGAATGCTTGTTTCTCCATTGCCAGGACAGGCTGAGAAGCAATTGGCCTCTTATGTGCTCACATAAGTGTTTTTGCCACCACATCTGTTCTCTGGTTTCCCGAAGTGTTCAATACTTCCATAGGCACGTTGTGCAGCCCTTGGATCTGCTTCTCTTTGGGCCAGAACTGAGACCCCATAGGCCAAGGCTCCTCCAACATTTCAACCTTTTGCCTCAGATACACATCTTTCCTTCTCTTAGGCTAAGTTAACTCCCTGGCACATGCTGAGTTGTAAATCAAAATGAATTGAATTTGTTAGGTCTTCCAAGAGGTTTAAGTACTCAGCCTTTTCCCTGAGACTCTGAAGTGTTCCTCAAAAGGCCTCCACAATGGTGGTCGTGTTCTTGAGGACATCTGTCTGCATTGTAGGCATCTCTGCTGTACACATTGACTATATAAATACTCCAACTTCCGTTGTGTTTTGGGTTCCCAAAGTCCAGTTGACAATGGATTGGGGGGAATTCAGAAGAAGAAAGAGCTCACACTTTTGAGTTATTCATTCACTTGCAGGACTTCTACTTGTGCCAGGGTAAGTCCTGGTCCCTGCCTCCCAAAGCTCTCTAAGTGACCTGTTTAAGATCACATGACCCAGAAGTGGGACTGCTGGGACTAGAATCCAGGTCTCTTGAATCCAGGTTTCCATGGCAGTGCACAGCTTTCCACAAACAAACTTCCAGACCAGCCTAGCCCATTCATGGAGGGAAGAACAGAAACACCCCCTGCTGAGCGAGTCACTCATTCATTCATTTATTAATTCAAAAACACCTACCATGCATCTGACATTGCTCTGTCTATACACAGTGAAGAATGAAATAAATATGGCCCAGCCTCCTGGAGCTAAGATCGTGCCATATATAAACAGACATCGATAATTATAGACAAGTTCCCAACTGCAAATGCAGCCAGCACTATGTGGAACAAGCACAGGGTGCAATGACAGTAAATGGGGCTATGTTTAGATGGGTGAGTCCGGGAGGGCCTCTCTTCAGGAAGTGCGAACTGAGACTGTGAACTGAGACTGAAGGCTGAGGAGGGAGCTGGGGAGGATGCACCAGGCACAAGCAGACAGGAGAAGAGCTCATGTAGCATGGTAAAAAGTGTGGCCCGTTGGGGACTTAAAAGAGGCAGGCAGGTGCTAAAGTGTGCAGGGCCTTGTAAGGGGAGGAATGGATTATGGACTTTAAGTAACTCTCCTGCAGACAGTGAGGGGTTTTAGGTTAAGGAGGGAGGTGTTCAGGTATCCTAATAATCTTTGAAATGAACTTTGGAATGATCACTCTGGAAACTGTGAGGAAAATGGATTGGAAGGGGGCAAGGGTGAGATGGGAGACCAGTTAGGAGCCACATGGGCACCCAAGCAGAAGATGCTGTGGCATGGCCGGGTGGCAGCTACAGAGGTCTGGAAGGTATAAAACCAACCGCAAGCAAAGGTTCTGCTCTAGTAAGGACACAGCCCCAAGGACTGTTGAGTGTGCCAGGACCTCAGAACTTTGCAGAGACAAGACAATCATGTAAAGCAGAACGTATTGAACCAAGTCAAGTAACTTACCCAAGCCCTACAGCAATGCTGGTCAGTCTAACTCTAGATCCCATCCTTTTAAGCACTCCATGGTCTCCATGTGGTCTTGGAGTACCAGAAATATCAGTGACATCTTCCCAACTCTCTCAAGCTCTTTCTTTTTCCTCAATAGGTAGGATGATCATCAGGTTGACCTGATGATCTTTAAGTTTAGTGGTGCACACCTGTAATCCCAGAAGCTTGGGAGGCTGAAATAGGAGGATTGCAAGTTCAAAGCCAAGCTCAGCAACTTAACGAGGCACTGAGCAACTCAGGGAGACCCTGTCTCTAGATAAAATATAAAGAAAGGGCTGGGGATGTAGCTTATTGTTTAAGTATCCCTGAGTTCAATCCCTGGTATAAAAAAGAAAAAAGTTTATGTCAATAACATCAGGGAAAATAATTTAGAATTCACCCTTCTAGGCTGACTTTAAGGCAATAACTTCACCTCTTCTTTCCAACTATTCTTACTAAAGTCATATCCAACAATACCTGTCAACCAGACATT